AGTGCTCTGTTAGAAAAGTTCGGGTGTCTCTCACAGGTTGAAGCAAGGGAACTGAGTACCTAAGTGCGGTGAACGGCAAGCAAACATGTTGAAAATCTTGCAGTGAGAGTGTTCAATATTACATTAATATAAATATGTAATATATTAATAAGTTTATAATTACAATCTTACATATATATATATAATGTATTAAAGTATATACAGCATATATAAGTAGTACCCCATGGAGCCAAAGAACTGTGAACAAGACATAACAAAAGCACACTGGCAACCCATGTGTGGAGGGAATGGACCATTCCCATGAAGAAACTCTGTGCTTGTGTTTCCCGCTGAGCTACCTCAAGTGTAGCTATGAAAAGTGCTTCTGTCCCGAAACCTTGACACCGCAAAAAGTGGCACTTGTTACAACATGTGAGCAAATGCTTCTCCAATGCTTGGGTGGTACAGACTTGTTTCAATACCCGTAGGTCATTAATATGATTATTGTGACCAGTTCTGTTTCTGAAGCGGAGCTAGCCCCCCAAACAAATCACAATCCACTTGACAGCTTAGTCTTCTATAGTGACTATAGTCAGTGTGGATGCAGTGCCGCCATCAGCTGCATGGAATATGGTTCGAAGGCACACATGGAGCCGAATTGAGGGAATCTGAGCCTCCGCGAGCCTCCGCCAGCTTTGTCTAAGTCTGCCCTGTGTTGAATCATGAGGGAGCTATATAATGGCAGCTAAGGGAAAGAAGCCTCTGTCTAGCCTTTAACTAGGAGCCCAACCATCCTGCCAATCAGGTTGAAACCGAGGTGCATGCGTGCCGCCCAGAAATGCATTCGCGTGGCGTGCTCCACATAGCCCTTCAATCGTGCAGCCTCCAAGGTTGCCAAGGCACTGGAACCTTCAAGTCCTCGGCTGCCGAGGCCGGCGTCACTACCCCTGGGGCAGCATGTGAAACTGTTGAAAGGCTTCTTGTGAGGAACGCACGCCGAAAAATACCAAAAGTGCCCTTCCGAGGAAACAACTGCATAGTGTACTTGCTTGTGGATGCAAACAAGTTGCTTGACATGGTTTTACAGTACAATGGTGAGGTTGCTTCATGACGGCAGGGCCTTGCGGAACGGGTACTTCATGGCACCGCAAAAATCACATGAATTCACCGCTACTCTCTCTCTCTCTCTCTCGCCCCATGGCCCTCTCCAAGAAATTTGGCTTAATTGAAAGGGAACTATTTCTGGATGCGCCCTGCCGCAATGAGTCTCCCAACTCGCTTGTGGTCAAACCACGTCGGTTTAGTCGCCCCGAAGAAACCCACGCGACTCGATGCGCCGCTTCGTTGGTTGAGACGAGGTTCTTTGGATCAAGGCCAAGCGCATCATCTCGCGTACGCCGAAGTGGCCGAGCGACTGGTCCTGGGCATATGGACGTCGTAGAGTGGGTGTGTAATAAAGGCATCCAACTAAATGACTCCAAGGCTTCGATTCATATGGATTCACCCAAGGCTTCGATCAAAAATGGCTGCCAAGCTTCCACGAAGGCCTCAAGAAATTGTTGATCATCCAGCTCTTCTGCATGGAACTGCTTTGCCGTTGGCGGCGCAGGCTTTGCAGCTGGGAGCTCTGAGTTGGGAGACTCCTTGAGGTAGCCAGATGGAGAAGTGGCCTGAGGGAGTGGATGGAGCATGGTAACATTGATAGGAATGCAAATTACCCACGTTGGTAGTTGTTGGAAATGGTAAACCAATCTGTTTGAGGAGCTTTATATGTATATATGAGAACCTCCAGAAGTGCCAATGGACAAGGACCTTATTATTTGTGAGATAGTGTGTGGTGTTATCAACCAGCAGTAGTTTGAATGCAATCTTGCCAAACCAGCTCTGGTTTACTTGGTTCGGTCGTTGATGCATCCTTAGTAAGAGCCAAGGGCTAAGAATGGACTCCAAGGACCAGCGAGTATATTTCAATGTGAACTGGTTTACTGTTCCTTGGCTGAAGACCTTCATAGGAGTTTAAGGAGTCACCAGCGACCTCCCATCATGAATCATTGGTACCAAGATCTGATTTTCAAGAGTGATGGCTGAACGCATATGCAGGCATGCGAGCCATGTTTGAGTGTGTAGAAGTGAGCAATTCTATTGACCCACGATCGATCCATTCTGAAGCTTAAATTGAGCGTCCGCAATAGTGAGGCCCAGCTCTCCTTTGGCCACTGTCGTTAAGAAATCCAAACCTTCAAGGACCCCCTGGCCACTCAGTGCATCGCAGGGCTGCATACGCACCGGTGCCTCAAGACGCAACCCTTTGCTGGGCTCTGATGAGCCCAGCCACGAGTTGCCAACATGTTCCCCCCCAACCGGAAGCAAGCTCTAAGCTCGGCAAAACCTTTGCGCTGATGAAATCAACGTCAATACCCAACCATCAGTGACCCTAATGATATCTAATGATGTAAGTAACTGTTCCATATATGGATGGTCTTGAGATGTCTAACTGTCTTGAGATATTTTTTCATGGCATAGATCGGGCCTGAGCCCTGCAAAAAGGCGCACCTTCTTGGCCAAGTCTGAGAGGTTGAGGCCCTCAGCAATCTCAGCTATGTTCATGCCATTGGGCTGATCCAGCTTGTTGATGAAGATCAAGCAGGGCACCTGCAGCGGAATTCCAATATGTTCCTTCACAACATCACACGACACCGCACGCATTCTTACGCATCTTTTCCTAGCATGGCATAGCTTCGTGCTTTAACTTGAAACAATCATGATAGGAAGGAACGCCAATTATACCGACACCCCGTTTCAAAACAATCACTCATGCTTTCTCCAAGAACAGTCACCGTATCTTCCTGCTTTCTATGGTGTCAGGGGTCGCTGCATGAAGCTATGTTTTAAACTTCTACAGCATATGCAAGCTTCATAATCTGAAGACATCTGAAGTAGTGTTAGGAGACAAGGGGGCAGATTCAGAAGAAGACTAATAAATAGATCGTACTGCATCTATAGTCCATTGCTCATGACTTGAATCGAACGATCTTCTAAGAAGACTCTCCTTCAATGTTGACAGTATTGGTCCTTCTCTTGAATCCAGGCACAGTATCTTTCCCATATTCTTCCATTGCATTACGAAGATATCCCCAAAGCTCCAGCGAAAATTCCTTGGATTGCTGATCAGGAACCTGGAAAGCTGTTTCCATCTGTTTCCTATAGATTCCCTTGAGCCGGATTCACCAACGCGGAAAACAACAAAAAACAGCAACTCACTGCAATTGATCTCAACATATCTCAACCGGGTTTCATTGTGCATGGTCCTGTCCGATGCATCGACCATGTAGATCAACATCTCCATCTGTGGAACCTCGAGTCTAGATGTCGAGATACGAAGATCGACAGATCTTGTGGAAGTAGAGGCCATGCGGTCATCCCAACAAGTGGAGAGAACTCGCACCAAGTGGCGAGAACTCGCACCCCTCTTTTCTCCACAAACCTGGGCCCCAGGTTCGCTCTCCAAAAACTAAAACCCTCTCACAAAACCTCAGCCAAGACTCATAGTGCCGAACCAGCGGACGCATCTTGGTCCTCAAACCCAAATCCCAAATCGTGAACTCCTCCGTCGGCTGAAGGGCCGGCGCTGGTCGTTGGCCATGGCGCATCTCATGGATTTAAAACTTGTGAAAACCAGCCGGTGGGGACCACTCTGATGTAGACTTGATATCTCTTAATTGATCAATAAAACCCCCCATTTGGAGTGTACGACCTCTTAAGATTCATAGGAGGGATTGATTCATCAAGCGTCATGCAACTTGAACACTCAACCCACCAGGATTCCGTGGTCGCACGGAATATCTCCACCGACCATCTCCCCTGCCGATGTCTCACCGTCCTGAAGCCGATGTCTCACCGTCTCCACATTGAAGCCGATGGTGGGTATGGTGGTCACAGAGCCAAATCCCAGCTTCAAGCCGTAAAGCAAGCCTCGGAGCTCCACCGGTCGTGTCGATCTGATGGCACCCGGACGACTTCGCCGTCGTCTCGAGCCCTGAGGTTCGGGAGGCCCTGGGGAAAAGTCCATGGACTAGATGTTGCAATGGTTTGGTTGATCCGATGATCTCCCAAACATGTCTTTCCCCCCGTTTTTGGGACATGACCCGGCTCTCTAGTCCAATGCCCCCATTCCCTTCGACAAATCTTGCGGTCATCGCTGGGCTGCAGGTTTTGCCGCTGCCATTGTCTCCCACCAGTAGCACCTGCACCATTTGTCGGTTTTAGACCAGGGGTCAACGAGGGAGGCTTGCATGATACCGTCCTTCGAATGTGCCACTTCACGATCATAAACTTTTGTTTGGTTCAACATGGTTCAACCCATTTTAGACTTTCTGAAATGCTTTTGCCTTTGTTATTGGGCCACTCATCTGAGACAAACACCCACACCCACACCCACACGCACACGCACATACACGCATGCACATACATCCCGCAGTTTGTAAGTTGGACAGACTCTTAATTTGACGTGACTTGTCGTGTCACCAAAATGATTCTTCGCCAATTTCGAGCTAGGACAAACCCACCACCCTAGGCGGTCTGTAGCCGACGTCCATCGTCACCATCGGCGACCCGTCGTCCACCTGCTTCACGGGCGTCTTCAGCCTCAGCGCCTCCTGCAGCTTCGCCACGCTCTGTCCCATGGCGGAGGAGCGATGGTGGCGCAGTCAGATGGGGCGGCGGCCATGGATAACGACTGCACGATGGTTTCCATCATGGACCCAACGACGTTGGTTTCTCTGCTTTAAGCTTTAAGCAAATGAACTCTGTTTCGTCGTTTGGAGAGAGATGCACAAGAACGTTGTTTTTTGATGTCTTGCCTGGTGGGAGCTGTCAGGGTTCTGTGCTGAGAGCTGTAGGCAGCTATCACAAATCAATTGGATCTTCTAATTGTTGCCACCTGCGCGCATAGAGAGAGAGAGAGAGGAACAAAAAGCTGTTATTCCCAAGTGTGTGTGTGCGCGCGTGTGTCAAAGTCCAGCCTCTTCTTCCTTGTCCTTGGCCATGTCCTCCTGAGTCTCCTGAGTGACATGGAAGAACATGCTCAAATTTGCGGAGGCATCGGACCTACCTACACCTTGGTGACAAAGTGACAGTGGTCCGCCTGAGGGATAGCAAACTAAACTGAGGGAAACTCTGTTCAGGATCTGTTCCCCAAAAACATGTGCGTTTGAGCTGAAGGCCCGGTATACATACGGGTAGCGCGACAAAACCTCTGAAGTTCTGAAGAGTAGGCTTTCCACCCAGTGGCTTTGGCCACTTTGGCCTTCTCACAAACCAACCCGTGCGCTTTCACCCGTGTGGGCTGACCGTGCGCAGCACGAGGGCCGGCCTTTCCAGCCACTTCGTGGCCATCCTCCAGCTGGTCTCGGAAATGTACGCTTTTGCTCCGCTGGCGGCCGCCTCCCAAGCATGCCAACTCCATCCTCATCCGCCCCCCCCGGATCGACCGTTTGGCACCGTCCAGCTACTGGTACTTTAAATGCGTAGACATGCATAAACCATGATGCATAGACTGTGTCACGCTGGGCCGATACGACCAAAGGCCATCACCCTACTTCCATGCAGCGTTTGGGTTTTGCAGGCAAGCGCTGCCGCTGTGTCACTATCTATTGTCAAACCATCAGGACATGGCCCGCGGCTAGGAACACACCACCCTGAAAGAAAGGTAGCATTAGGTCTTCCATAGCAAGGATCATTCCCTACCAAACAGTCAAGTTGGTGCCACACAATCAAGTTGGTGGAAAGAATCACAATCATACAATCGTTGATTAATAATAATGCCCCCAAATAGTATTTAAAACATCTGAATATATCTAAAAACTACAAGTTTGGTAGAAGATTTTCTCAATCAACAGTCATTATATACAGCATCACCGGCGCACCGCGATGCCCACCGCCACCGGCGAATCGGCAGCGCGGCGCCTTCCTTCTCGCCGTCCCGCTTCGCATCCAAGGCGAGCGCGGTGCCAACGCGCGAGGCACGGTCTTCCAACGGTAAAACACCTTGGCCCAGTGCCGTAGGCAATGGGCTCCGACACAATAGCACATCTAGCACTCTCAATGTGTTTTTCTTCCAATTGGTCTTCTGGTCAGGTGCCCTTCTTGCAAGGAAACGTGTCTTGCCAGGGGTTGCAAACACTGTTAACATCTGTTAACTTGGTGCAGGTCGCTGCGACTCGACACAGCCTGACACCCGAAACTCGTGCAGCCGGAATCGCTGATGGAGATGCCGTTGGTGTCCAAGGCGGTCATCAAGTGAGCTGGCCCAATCCTTGGAAAGACATCCGAAGCCTCGATGCTTCCCATGATAACTCCAGGTCTATGCATATCAACCTACGACAAGTAAGAAACACTTGCAACAAATCCCACACATGTTTTTGGCCTAGGCCTAATCAATTCCGGAGGCCCTCAAACCTATGGAACAAATGGAGGTTTTCATGTACCAAAACCGTGGTTTTTGGAGAAAACCAGGTCTTTGGTTTGTGGGGCCGGTTGGAGCTCATCACGCTCCTCACCCGCAAACCCGGAGTGATCGGCCGTCGAACGCACATCGGCCGGCCATGCCATGGGCGCGGGAGTTGACCAGGGAATGCTCGTGTGCCATCTGCGACGTAAGGAACAACTCATTTAGGACCCATTGCCTGCTAGCAATGGCAGTGGCAGTAGCAGTAGTTGTAGTAGGAGTAGCAGCAGGCGTAGTAGTAGTAGTAGTAGTAG